AAACTTTGCAACAGAACGACTAAGTGCAAATAATTACCTGCCGTAGTATTTAGATATTACAACATCTAAGTGAAAGTAGTAGAATTTAGATGTAACAATATGTAAATAAAATTTACCGTCTTTGCACTGTCTTGCAGTATTCTTTCTTCTTCACTCTGTCAAGAATACATTTCCTTTATATCAGCACAAATTTGCATACTCAACACAATCTCCAAGTAATGAGTATCACATGAAGGACTACAAGTTGAAAAGACAGCAAATATACTCAAAAGGAGGACACGCACAGATATCTGAAACCACACACCTGTAATGTGATTGGATAAAGAAACAGCACAGCTAGTACTGGCTTCGGGACCATTTCCAACAGTTCATCATCCAAGCCATACACATCATAGCACTCTGCCTCATCTGGTGGAACACCGAGGCCCCAAAAGAACTGCTCAATGGCCAAAGAAAATAAATTATACAGATGCAGTATTTCTTTTTCGTTTTTTTTTAACTACCACTATGGGAACTCCAAAAGTCTCAGGTGCTCCAAATTCCGTTTATCAACATGGTGTAATGAGGAGTGCCTGGACTTTTTCTCTTTGTCTCCCAACTCAAAGTCCTATTCAGACATACTTTATGTTTTCAACCCAAACAGCTGAGATATAAATTCATCATCTAGTTCCTTTTGTATATTTGAAATCAAAACTAACTCTTAACATATTTCGCATAAAGTTACAAAAAAAATGAAGAATTGAAGTACTTCACTATACAATCAAATTTGACAAATTCCAACCCCAAGATTAGGCAAAATAATCATGAACAATATAAAGAAAAGACGAGCACACCAGAGTTTAGTCCATCCTTGTGTCATCCCACCGAAATTTATCCTAATCCAGAACGATTAAGACCGTGCTCTACTTCCCCACTGGCCCAAACAAGAGATAAATTTCTTCATTGCAACTCAATCAGTTATTTATTAGCAGCATTCGACACAATTGGATCATCAATTTCAACTAATATTTGTCTAAACTAAACATTCAATCAAGGAAAAACATGTTTATCCAAGACAGTGCCATTTTCAACGCTGTACTTCAAGAACACCAAAACACCCTATGTGTTCTAAGGAAAACTGCATTAAGAAAAAATGGAAAAGAAAAACAAAATCATAAAGTTGAAATTTCATTTTCTGAGACAGACACACACAAACAGAGACGATCGACATACCTGATTCATGACGTCAGGGTTAGCTTCTAGAGGAAGCCATCTCTTAGTGGAAGGAATCTCAGCCATTGATCTCTCTGATTTCTTCTTCTCTTTGTTCCGTCCGACTTATTAATTTGAGGGTTTTTTTATATCGCACAGAAGGTAGGGTTTTGATCGGAACGTTACGTGGACTGAGACACTCTCTCTTTCTTAAGGATTTGGGATGGTACCACAGTCGTGCGAATGTAGAACTGTGTCAAGCATCAATCTCTCTTTTTTCTTTTTTCTGTTATTCAACCGTCGTATTATGTAGATTAATTTATGCACATTCCAATTAAATTTTTTTTTAATATAATAAAAAATAAATTTATGAAAACTTAAACTTAAAATGTCAAGGAATGTGTCGCATCTTGCGAGTGTTACAACTACACCCGATGGCTTTTAAGTGAGAAAATTCGAATTCTTATCTAACAAACTAATAACTCATTCGTATATATAACATTTTTATTGAATAAAAAGATCATATATTAGTAAATAATTTTCACATATTGTAATTTTACTTTAAATTTATATGAGTTTTGAATAAAATCGATGTTAATTTTAAAATTTTATGTTATTTAATCCTAACTAGTGTATCTAAAAGTTATACTTAGAGATGGTGTACTTCTTTTTTTTTGGTGCAATGTGAGTGTGAATATAAAAATCTCCTTATTTTATCAAAAATTATTCTTTAAACTTTGCCGGAATGACTTGATTGACACCATATTAATAATTAAGAAACTAAACTAAAACAATTGAAAGTTTCTGAACTATTTTATAATAATAGATAAAATTTCAAAACTAATTATGATATTTACCTTATATTTTTATTAATCTTGTTTGCATTCATGAGGTCTCTAGGAGGAGGAAAAAGAGTTGATGGGTTCTGATTCAATCACTCCTTTAATGTTTCGCAAAAATAATTTCTCAAAGTTTGTGGTCACTCGCACTTTAATTTCACATTTCTTCTTCTTTACATGTTGTTGGGATGACTTTGAACAACCCTTGTCTCAAATATAGTCCCAATTTGATTGATATGCAGCATACAGAACAAGACTGCGTATATCTAATCTTTTCCAAACTCTGCAATAACAAAAGAATATTGCAATGGGTTGCCCTTTTGGCATAAAGCATAAGGGGCCTGTATATTGCAATTACTGCAGCAACACTATAAACTCAGTATGCCTACTGATATAAACATTGTATGTAAACTTAAAAACGCCACAACTGCTATAGTTTCATGGTAGATAATCGGAGTGAACTGTCCAATCATAGAAATTATTGTCGGAATAATCTAATTCAAACAATGTAGAATCCGAAGGAACCAGCTAAAGAAGGAGGGGGAATACTTTTGACATTCTCTCTTGAACTTTCAAATAGAAAATTGGTACTCCATACATACTTCTGAGTGATACGTGAGGCACAAAAATTTCGTTTGTAGCATTTTTGGTTTCTTCATTCACCTATATATCGAGGTTTTCGCTTCTCTGCAAATGCAGCTAACCCTTCCAATCGATCTTTTGTGTTCAAGAGCTGTTCATAACAATCTTCTTCCAATGACAAAGCTGATGCCATATCTATCTCAAGCCCCTCATCAATAGCTTGCTTTGCCATCTTTATCGCCAATGGACCCTGTGAAGAATCATGAATTATTGTTAGTATTATACATAACACTTTTGAGTATAGAAACAAAACAAATAACTTGTGTATCAGTAATCTCAGCGTTTATTGGCTGATCGCATTTAAGAGACATCAAAAAGCATAATGTCAAGGATCATGTCATTATACTTTTTGATTGTTTCCAGTGAGCTTAAACTGATAATGTTTTAGATCATTTACTTTTTCACCAGTCAAGATTCTGAAGAGATATAAATTTGAACCTTCTGATTTATATCCCGAGCAATTTCGAGTGCCTTCAAACGAGCTTCACCAGCAGGAACACAGTGGTTGACAAGGCCTGCACAATAATGTATCTTCGCTGTTGAATGGAAACTAACTAATTGAAAACCCAAGTTCCCAATTTAGGCATACCCATTGATAATGCATCTCTACCACCAATCTTCCGACCAGTAAATATAAGTTCTTTTGCAACTGATTTTCCTACTAATCTAGGCAGCCGTTGGGTCCCACCTGCCCTGAAAAGGTGTAGGACTTCATAATCAGATAATGCTCTGCAAGATGATTATCTGCCGAATATCTATTCAAGCTTGAAATCAGATTCAAAATCTAGCAGCTTCATCAGCATTGGTAAAGCACACGACATATAAAATGATGAACAGCCTGTCAAAAGTTGCCAAAGAGACTGGGGAGACAAATCCATCTTGAACAACATTGAGGTAAATTGAAATCCAAAAAATAAATAAAACGAATGGGGCAAATTTTCAATTGAGACATCAAATACCCTGGTATAATAGCAAGTCCTGTTTCTGGCAAGCCCAACACTGCATCTTCTCCTGAGTCACTAATAGTGAAACTATAAACTCCAAATAATGCAAGCAGGTACCATATACAAGTAAGGTTAAAATAAGAAAGTATAGAAACCAGAATTACCACATATCCGAATATCACAGGATAAAGCCATTTCCAGTCCACCACCCAATGCTGCGCCTTCGATGACAGCTATAGTAGGAATATGAAGTGCCTGGTGAGGCCCATTGCAGATAATTTAATAAAGTGACAAAGTGGAAATTCTGATGATATGCAGTGAGGACTTCTAATAACGGAATAAAGTCAGTGTCATGGAGTAAAACACAACATATCAGAAATAGATGCAGGCATACCATAAAACTTGCAAATGAAAGACACCTTGTTTTTGAACTTGATGTGATTATCCAAAGCGTTTAAGGTGTCTAGACAATGCTAAATTTATGGTATGCCTGCATCTATTTCTGATATGTTGTGTTTTACTCCATGACACTGACTTTATTCCGTTATTAGAAGTCCTCACTGCATATCATCAGAATTTCCACTTTGTCACTTTATTAAATTATCTGCAATGGGCCTCACCAGGCACTTCATATTCCTACTATAGCTGTCATCGAAGGCGCAGCATTGGGTGGTGGACTGGAAATGGCTTTATCCTGTGATATTCGGATATGTGGTAATTCTGGTTTCTATACTTTCTTATTTTAACCTTACTTGTATATGGTACCTGCTTGCATTATTTGGAGTTTATAGTTTCACTATTAGTGACTCAGGAGAAGATGCAGTGTTGGGCTTGCCAGAAACAGGACTTGCTATTATACCAGGGTATTTGATGTCTCAATTGAAAATTTGCCCCATTCGTTTTATTTATTTTTTGGATTTCAATTTACCTCAATGTTGTTCAAGATGGATTTGTCTCCCCAGTCTCTTTGGCAACTTTTGACAGGCTGTTCATCATTTTATATGTCGTGTGCTTTACCAATGCTGATGAAGCTGCTAGATTTTGAATCTGATTTCAAGCTTGAATAGATATTCGGCAGATAATCATCTTGCAGAGCATTATCTGATTATGAAGTCCTACACCTTTTCAGGGCAGGTGGGACCCAACGGCTGCCTAGATTAGTAGGAAAATCAGTTGCAAAAGAACTTATATTTACTGGTCGGAAGATTGGTGGTAGAGATGCATTATCAATGGGTATGCCTAAATTGGGAACTTGGGTTTTCAATTAGTTAGTTTCCATTCAACAGCGAAGATACATTATTGTGCAGGCCTTGTCAACCACTGTGTTCCTGCTGGTGAAGCTCGTTTGAAGGCACTCGAAATTGCTCGGGATATAAATCAGAAGGTTCAAATTTATATCTCTTCAGAATCTTGACTGGTGAAAAAGTAAATGATCTAAAACATTATCAGTTTAAGCTCACTGGAAACAATCAAAAAGTATAATGACATGATCCTTGACATTATGCTTTTTGATGTCTCTTAAATGCGATCAGCCAATAAACGCTGAGATTACTGATACACAAGTTATTTGTTTTGTTTCTATACTCAAAAGTGTTATGTATAATACTAACAATAATTCATGATTCTTCACAGGGTCCATTGGCGATAAAGATGGCAAAGCAAGCTATTGATGAGGGGCTTGAGATAGATATGGCATCAGCTTTGTCATTGGAAGAAGATTGTTATGAACAGCTCTTGAACACAAAAGATCGATTGGAAGGGTTAGCTGCATTTGCAGAGAAGCGAAAACCTCGATATATAGGTGAATGAAGAAACCAAAAATGCTACAAACGAAATTTTTGTGCCTCACGTATCACTCAGAAGTATGTATGGAGTACCAATTTTCTATTTGAAAGTTCAAGAGAGAATGTCAAAAGTATTCCCCCTCCTTCTTTAGCTGGTTCCTTCGGATTCTACATTGTTTGAATTAGATTATTCCGACAATAATTTCTATGATTGGACAGTTCACTCCGATTATCTACCATGAAACTATAGCAGTTGTGGCGTTTTTAAGTTTACATACAATGTTTATATCAGTAGGCATACTGAGTTTATAGTGTTGCTGCAGTAATTGCAATATACAGGCCCCTTATGCTTTATGCCAAAAGGGCAACCCATTGCAATATTCTTTTGTTATTGCAGAGTTTGGAAAAGATTAGATATACGCAGTCTTGTTCTGTATGCTGCATATCAATCAAATTGGGACTATATTTGAGACAAGGGTTGTTCAAAGTCATCCCAACAACATGTAAAGAAGAAGAAATGTGAAATTAAAGTGCGAGTGACCACAAACTTTGAGAAATTATTTTTGCGAAACATTAAAGGAGTGATTGAATCAGAACCCATCAACTCTTTTTCCTCCTCCTAGAGACCTCATGAATGCAAACAAGATTAATAAAAATATAAGGTAAATATCATAATTAGTTTTGAAATTTTATCTATTATTATAAAATAGTTCAGAAACTTTCAATTGTTTTAGTTTAGTTTCTTAATTATTAATATGGTGTCAATCAAGTCATTCCGGCAAAGTTTAAAGAATAATTTTTGATAAAATAAGGAGATTTTATATTCACACTCACATTGCACCAAAAAAAAAGAAGTACACCATCTCTAAGTATAACTTTTAGATACACTAGTTAGGATTAAATAACATAAAATTTTAAAATTAACATCGATTTTATTCAAAACTCATATAAATTTAAAGTAAAATTACAATATGTGAAAATTATTTACTAATATATGATCTTTTTATTCAATAAAAATGTTATATATACGAATGAGTTATTAGTTTGTTAGATAAGAATTCGAATTTTCTCACTTAAAAGCCATCGGGTGTAGTTGTAACACTCGCAAGATGCGACACATTCCTTGACATTTTAAGTTTAAGTTTTCATAAATTTATTTTTTATTATATTAAAAAAAAATTTAATTGGAATGTGCATAAATTAATCTACATAATACGACGGTTGAATAACAGAAAAAAGAAAAAAGAGAGATTGATGCTTGACACAGTTCTACATTCGCACGACTGTGGTACCATCCCAAATCCTTAAGAAAGAGAGAGTGTCTCAGTCCACGTAACGTTCCGATCAAAACCCTACCTTCTGTGCGATATAAAAAAACCCTCAAATTAATAAGTCGGACGGAACAAAGAGAAGAAGAAATCAGAGAGATCAATGGCTGAGATTCCTTCCACTAAGAGATGGCTTCCTCTAGAAGCTAACCCTGACGTCATGAATCAGGTATGTCGATCGTCTCTGTTTGTGTGTGTCTGTCTCAGAAAATGAAATTTCAACTTTATGATTTTGTTTTTCTTTTCCATTTTTTCTTAATGCAGTTTTCCTTAGAACACATAGGGTGTTTTGGTGTTCTTGAAGTACAGCGTTGAAAATGGCACTGTCTTGGATAAACATGTTTTTCCTTGATTGAATGTTTAGTTTAGACAAATATTAGTTGAAATTGATGATCCAATTGTGTCGAATGCTGCTAATAAATAACTGATTGAGTTGCAATGAAGAAATTTATCTCTTGTTTGGGCCAGTGGGGAAGTAGAGCACGGTCTTAATCGTTCTGGATTAGGATAAATTTCGGTGGGATGACACAAGGATGGACTAAACTCTGGTGTGCTCGTCTTTTCTTTATATTGTTCATGATTATTTTGCCTAATCTTGGGGTTGGAATTTGTCAAATTTGATTGTATAGTGAAGTACTTCAATTCTTCATTTTTTTTGTAACTTTATGCGAAATATGTTAAGAGTTAGTTTTGATTTCAAATATACAAAAGGAACTAGATGATGAATTTATATCTCAGCTGTTTGGGTTGAAAAACATAAAGTATGTCTGAATAGGACTTTGAGTTGGGAGACAAAGAGAAAAAGTCCAGGCACTCCTCATTACACCATGTTGATAAACGGAATTTGGAGCACCTGAGACTTTTGGAGTTCCCATAGTGGTAGTTAAAAAAAAACGAAAAAGAAATACTGCATCTGTATAATTTATTTTCTTTGGCCATTGAGCAGTTCTTTTGGGGCCTCGGTGTTCCACCAGATGAGGCAGAGTGCTATGATGTGTATGGCTTGGATGATGAACTGTTGGAAATGGTCCCGAAGCCAGTACTAGCTGTGCTGTTTCTTTATCCAATCACATTACAGGTGTGTGGTTTCAGATATCTGTGCGTGTCCTCCTTTTGAGTATATTTGCTGTCTTTTCAACTTGTAGTCCTTCATGTGATACTCATTACTTGGAGATTGTGTTGAGTATGCAAATTTGTGCTGATATAAAGGAAATGTATTCTTGACAGAGTGAAGAAGAAAGAATACTGCAAGACAGTGCAAAGACGGTAAATTTTATTTACATATTGTTACATCTAAATTCTACTACTTTCACTTAGATGTTGTAATATCTAAATACTACGGCAGGTAATTATTTGCACTTAGTCGTTCTGTTGCAAAGTTTGACTCCATGCCAATGGTTAGGGTGATATTGCAGTCTAATTTTTCAGAGGTGTGACTATATCAACAACAACCATTTACTAGCCTGAAACAATCTGCAGGGTTCAAATTATTAGAGGTCTAGAGTCTATTATTAGCATTGGGCCAAATACCCTTTTAGTTTGATGGTATGAATATTACATTCGATTATGACTTAACAATTTTGATGTCATCTAATCAATCTCGTGAAATTGAATGGAGCTTAATAGATAGTATTAATGTTGCAGTTAAGTTGATACTGCTTTATGCTACAGACATGATTTTATCAACAGGGTCAATACAAAACATACATGTTTACAATCATCTCACTGGGAGTGAAAACCATCAAATTTCCAGCTGCCGGTTTGCTGAGAAACCAATTTCTTGATAAGCAGAATACGTTAATCGTTGTGCTTTGAAAACTAACAGACCTTATTTAGTGTAGAAATTTTATGTAACATATATATACACCATGTGTTTGTGGGTGCAAGCATCTATGATTATTATTATTGAATAATAATCATAGATGCTTGCACCCACAAACACATGGTGTATATATATGTTACATAAAATTTCTACACTAAATAAGGTCTGTTAGTTTTCAAAGCACAACGATTAACGTATTCTGCTTATCAAGAAATTGGTTTCTCAGCAAACCGGCAGCTGGAAATTTGATGGTTTTCACTCCCAGTGAGATGATTGTAAACATGTATGTTTTGTATTGACCCTGTTGATAAAATCATGTCTGTAGCATAAAGCAGTATCAACTTAACTGCAACATTAATACTATCTATTAAGCTCCATTCAATTTCACGAGATTGATTAGATGACATCAAAATTGTTAAGTCATAATCGAATGTAATATTCATACCATCAAACTAAAAGGGTATTTGGCCCAATGCTAATAATAGACTCTAGACCTCTAATAATTTGAACCCTGCAGATTGTTTCAGGCTAGTAAATGGTTGTTGTTGATATAGTCACACCTCTGAAAAATTAGACTGCAATATCACCCTAACCATTGGCATGGAGTCAAACTTTGCAACAGAACGACTAAGTGCAAATAATTACCTGCCGTAGTATTTAGATATTACAACATCTAAGTGAAAGTAGTAGAATTTAGATGTAACAATATGTAAATAAAATTTACCGTCTTTGCACTGTCTTGCAGTATTCTTTCTTCTTCACTCTGTCAAGAATACATTTCCTTTATATCAGCACAAATTTGCATACTCAACACAATCTCCAAGTAATGAGTATCACATGAAGGACTACAAGTTGAAAAGACAGCAAATATACTCAAAAGGAGGACACGCACAGATATCTGAAACCACACACCTGTAATGTGATTGGATAAAGAAACAGCACAGCTAGTACTGGCTTCGGGACCATTTCCAACAGTTCATCATCCAAGCCATACACATCATAGCACTCTGCCTCATCTGGTGGAACACCGAGGCCCCAAAAGAACTGCTCAATGGCCAAAGAAAATAAATTATACAGATGCAGTATTTCTTTTCGTTTTTTTTTAACTACCACTATGGGAACTCCAAAAGTCTCAGGTGCTCCAAATTCCGTTTATCAACATGGTGTAATGAGGAGTGCCTGGACTTTTTCTCTTTGTCTCCCAACTCAAAGTCCTATTCAGACATACTTTATGTTTTCAACCCAAACAGCTGAGATATAAATTCATCATCTAGTTCCTTTTGTATATTTGAAATCAAAACTAACTCTTAACATATTTCGCATAAAGTTACAAAAAAAATGAAGAATTGAAGTACTTCACTATACAATCAAATTTGACAAATTCCAACCCCAAGATTAGGCAAAATAATCATGAACAATATAAAGAAAAGACGAGCACACCAGAGTTTAGTCCATCCTTGTGTCATCCCACCGAAATTTATCCTAATCCAGAACGATTAAGACCGTGCTCTACTTCCCCACTGGCCCAAACAAGAGATAAATTTCTTCATTGCAACTCAATCAGTTATTTATTAGCAGCATTCGACACAATTGGATCATCAATTTCAACTAATATTTGTCTAAACTAAACATTCAATCAAGGAAAAACATGTTTATCCAAGACAGTGCCATTTTCAACGCTGTACTTCAAGAACACCAAAACACCCTATGTGTTCTAAGGAAAACTGCATTAAGAAAAAATGGAAAAGAAAAACAAAATCATAAAGTTGAAATTTCATTTTCTGAGACAGACACACACAAACAGAGACGATCGACATACCTGATTCATGACGTCAGGGTTAGCTTCTAGAGGAAGCCATCTCTTAGTGGAAGGAATCTCAGCCATTGATCTCTCTGATTTCTTCTTCTCTTTGTTCCGTCCGACTTATTAATTTGAGGGTTTTTTTATATCGCACAGAAGGTAGGGTTTTGATCGGAACGTTACGTGGACTGAGACACTCTCTCTTTCTTAAGGATTTGGGATGGTAC